AAACTAGGTCCAATGGGACCAAAGGGTGAAAGAGGACCACCAGGTCCTAGTGGCCCACAAGGAAGCACAGGAACATGTCTGCCACGCCAGAAATCTGCCTTTGCCATGAAACTTGCCAAAAACTATCCAGCTCCTAATCAGCCCATTATATTTCATCAAATCTTATACAATGATCAGCAACATTTTGATAAGGCCACAGGAATTTTCACCTGCCACGTACCTGGAGTTTATTATTTTGGCTACAATGTGGAGTTGTATCGGAACACCACAAGCCTTCTGTTAATGAAAAACAGCAAAGCAGTGCTAGCCTCATATCAGACCACCCTAAAGTCTTATGAAAATATGTCAGGAAGTACAGTCCTTAAGCTGGAGAAGGGTGACAAGGTCTGGTTAGAAGTGATCCAGGAAAGTAACGGAGCAACGCAAACAAGCTACTTTTTGGGTTACCTCATATTTGAAACTTAGATTGCTGCAGAACTCCTGAATTAGCCTCATTATTGCATTAGAATTCAAGAGATGAGGAAAGCATATCTGGGGAGGCAGGAGGTTGTGTTAGGATCTGGTATCATATTATAGCAATATCTAGTATTATGGCTTCACCATCTACTTTTATGATTGCCCAACATTTCCCATTACAAGATGCAACTGGGGGCTGGGACAGAGAAAAGTAGATTTGGGCAGGAAACCTGAGGGGAAAAACTGGGACTGGAGGCTAGAAGGGGGAAAGGAGGAGAAGAGGGAAACTGGGACTGGGAAGCGGGGAAAAAATGAAGGGGGAACCAAGAGCTGATGAGGACCAGAAAGGGGGACCAGTAAAGCAGAGAAAGGAACTGGGTGGGAGACATATCTGATAAGGAGCAAAGACAGGGAAGGAGAATTAGGATGGTCCAAGCTAAGAAACTGGGAAGAGGAGCTGGGGGAGGGTGGTCTCAATGAAATTGAAAGAAGAGCTCTGAGAGGGAAACTTAGAGCCAGGGGGATGGGAAATATGGGCATGGGGCAGGCATTATAAGCTACAGGGGTGTGGAGAGAGATTGGATGAAAAGCTAGGAGGGTGAGATTGTCCTCAGCCTCCTGTCTACCCAGGCCCAGAGAGCTAGATAAGGTGGAAAAAGGGACTGGATGGGCAAAGAGACTAGGCAGAGTGAGAATTGTGGGGAGATACTGGGATAGGGACTCAGTAGGGCAGAGGTGGCCAAACCATTTAACAAAGAGAGCCAAAACAGTGGCGGAAAAAATGTGAAGCGCCGCACCAGAACCGTCAGAGGAAAAAAAAAAGCCCCCCAGAACAGAACTGTTGAGCAAAAACAAAAAACTTAACACAAAAATTTTTTAAAAAGAAGGCTGCCCCTTCAAGATGGCTGCCATCTTGGGCACCATTTTTAAAACCCTGCAGCTCCGACCCAGCAAGCACAGGGAAGCCGGAGGGTGGTAGGAGCCATTGGGGGGGGAGGGAGTGCACAGGAGTGTCTTCATGAGCCACACTTTTGGGGGCCAAAAGCCACATGTAGCTCGCGAACCACGGGTTGGCCACGGCTGAAATAGGAGGAACACTGGGGCTGGCTGGACAAGGAAACTGGAACAGGTTGGAGAGAAGAGACAGGAAAATGCATGTGCACTACAGTACACTCCCACCAAAGGATGGAATGGAACCAAAACAATTTCTGACTCTCACTATTCCTCTGCTGTCAACAAATATATGTGAAATCCTCTGGAAAAGTGCCTCACCCTCCTCTAGTGCAGGTCCACACAAAGTGTAACAACCTACTACTGCCATCAGTTACTCAAGCTCAAGTGGCAGAGGTCTGCGTGGTGGATGCAAAGGTTCCAACGCTGCTAATGACCCTGCATATCAATATGTTGACACACAAAGGAATGTCTGTTTTTTCAGTATTCCTTTTTTAAAAAATAGGAAATTACATACAACAAATTACACTAAGAGAACATTATTAAGATTGCAAAGTCAAGCATTCAAATATTAGGAAATGCCAGAATGATAGTTGCCTTTAATGCTATATCTAGACTGCAAGTTTCTTTTGGAAGAAGCTTTTCCAGAAGAGATTGTCCGGAAAAGCTTATTTTGAAAGAGAGCATCCACATAGTAAAAGTGAAATGAAATAGAGATGTGCTTTTTCTTCAGATTGGACACCATCTCACATTTAAGTTGCGATTAGTCTGGATGGAGTGAGTGGCCACCAGGGCACCTGTGTTATTTCCTGGGGGCCTCTTCTTTCGAAAGAACTCCGTCTTCTGCATCCACACACACCTTTTACCATCAGTGGAAAAACCCCTCTGTTCTTTTGACTTTGTCGAAAGAACTCAATGACATTGTGGGCGCAAATATTGTTTTTCCAGAAAAACGCAGCAGTGTATACGCACCCTAACACATTAATTCAGACCCCTTGTGTGTATGCATGCATTATAACACAGCCCTAAACTGCATGATCACATATTTTTCCACGGGACTCCTGCCTAATTCAGTGCACAGGATGGGTCATGTTGTGGAGGTGAAACGGGGTTGTATAGTGAATGAGGCTGTAGGACCTTGGTCTCACTTGTTGCAGAAGTAGAAAGGTGTGTAGTGCATGAGGCAGGGTCTTACAGGAAGAGAGGTTGCTCTCATATTTAAGATAACTGAATGCTGCCCTGAAGAACTGGATTTTATTGTCTCTGCCACAGAATTCTGCATGGTGCTGGGCAAGTCACTTAAGAGAAACTTTTACAGGTGTTCACTATGTTTTCCCTCCTTTTCAGGGTCCTTGACATAACATCCTGGGGCCTGATTTGCACGAGTGCCAATCACTTTTAGCTGCAACTGAAGTCAGCAGGAGCTCTGCACTGAACATATACCCATTGAAAATATACTGTATATGAAGTGCTATATATTGCTAAGTATTTTGAAGAATCATCTTCTGGATGTCTCAACTTGGGCATCTAAAAGTAGTGAACACATTTGACCTTAAAGTTTGTGCCTCAGTTTCCCCCCTCCCCTCCATCTGTCAAATGAGGCTACAACTTTCTCACCCCATAGGGAGAGTGTGAAAATAAATTCATTAATGTGCGTGAAGCACTTAGATACTATAGTTTCAGAGGGGGGAGCCGTGTGTCACAGAGCAGGTCCTTTTGACCATGGCCTCGTGCGTGGATTGCCCATTCTGCCACACAAAGGCCCCTCACAGAAAATGTAGGCCGCTGACACACTGAGAAAGCATAACTTGTAAGTGCACAATGCAGCTTTCTGTGAACGGAATTTAACCTTGTAGGCATCTAAGAACAGGGAGGTGAGCATGAAAAGATAGAGCACAGCTGCAAAAGATAAATAAGACTCTCTTGACCAGACCTTGAAGGTAGGGAGGTAGGCATAGGGAGATATGACGCAACTGCCATGCACACTGACCATGCCCGCACCCGGCACTGACCACGGGGCCATCAGGCGGGCATCATGAAAAATCCTATCGGGCAATATTGCACATTACCTCATTACCAGCCTATCAGGCCCAGCCAGGGAACAGACCCTAATAAGGTACCGGACATCAGGTTATGTTATAAAAGACCCTTGACCCCTTTGTTCAGGGAGGTTCCGTGTATTGAGGGCACGTGTCTTTTTGCCCGGCTGAAGGATTGATCACCCTGAGGCTGCCTCCCCACCTTTCGAGTCAAAGATAGGGTTACGCAAGTTCTGAGCATGCTCCAAGTTCTAGTGTGTCTTTACGCTGTTATCGTTGCTGGATTTGTAAGTATTGCTTAAATATATTAGTTATTGATTTAGTTAATATTTGAATCATGTTAATTTCATTGTGTGATGCTGTAGAGTGTAACTGAGTTCTATTAACCACACTGTGTAAATTGTATAATCTTGTGTTGTGTAGTGGTGCTGTATTTAGGCCAAGCATAAGTGTTAGAAATAGAAACCCAGCAGCTGATAAGTTGTAGAGGTAGATTAATGACTAACTCCACCAGCTGCCCTAAAATAACCATAGAGGGGCTGGCTGTGGACGGAGTTTTTATTATTATATTGGCTTTGCTTTTGTATTTTTTGTTTGCATGCTGCGCTGCCTTAAGCGAATTAGAGATAGTGATTTAATATAATCGAATTATAATCACAAAGTTTGTAATCAGTTAAGTGCAGTTTGGTTCAGTTTTCCCCTCCTGTAAAAACATTAGGCAATTGCTTGTTTTAAAATTCATTTAAAAGTCACTTGATTTTTGATAAAAGAACCATTCTGTTTTATAAAAAATCATTTGTTTCACCATCATCCAGTAGTTTTCACTGGGTAGTCGGTTTTAACCTCTGGGGGCTCCCATCACATCACCGAACCAAGTTGCGACACCGTGTTAGTCTGTAAATGAAAAAAAACCTGAAAAAATCCCCAATGAATAGTCCTGCAGCACCTTAGAGACTAATAAAAAATGTAGATGGTATCATGAGCTTTCATGGGTACAACCCACTTCTTCTGATGAATGGCGTTATGGGGTCCAGGTTGCAAAATAAATAGAAAAAGAGAGGGGATGGGGAGGGACATTAATTGGATTACTTGCTACATTCCACATCCTAATGATATAAAAGGCAAGTACCGGGTACTTAGAGTGGGTTCCAAGTACTCTTATCAGCTTCATTTAGCATGGAAACTCTAATTGACTATTCTTTTCCCATTTTTTTCCTTTCTCTTCCCCTCCCCAACCTCTCTCTTTCTCTGCTATTTATTTTGCAACCTGGACCCCTTAACTCCATTCATCTGTATAAGTGGGTTGTACCCAGGAAAGCTCATGGTACCATCTACATTTTTTATTAGTCTCTAAGGTGATGCAGGACAATTTGTTGTTTCAGTTTTTTTAGATTCTATATTGATGGGCACCATAGAAAAGCCTATGAGAAAATTAATAATTCTGTTTTCAGAGCTGGATTTGAATAGCATGCAGTAAATTATACCCAGGGCCACATCTTGGACAACAAGGAGGAAACAAAATATTGAACAAGTGCTCAAATCTACAGTACAACTTTCTATAGGTGCAGCTGCACTGCTTTAGCATGTTGGGTGAAAATGCTCTAGCCAGTGAGAGAGCACTCTCCTGTCGGCTTCAGAACTTCACCTCCTCAAGAGACTGTAGTTATGTCAGGACAGAAGCTCCCCCACCAGCACAGCACTGTCTATACAGGGGGCAGGGGGCATGTGTGTGTGTTAAGATTGGTATAATTACTTTGCTCAGAGGGGTGGTTTTTCACACCCCTGAAAGATGTAGTTCTACCAAACTAAGTAAGCAGCAAAGGCCAAGACTAAGTGAAGACAGACTATCCTGAGCATTAAATGAGACATGAGTACTGTGGGAAAATAGTAGGGGACCATGGGATTAAAGACTATACTATAACACATCTGTGTGATGAATATTTTCATAATATTTTATGAGTTCTGTTATCTCCGTTTCCCCCTTGTGCTGTGTTGTTACCAAGTAAGTGCAAAAGGACT